GGGGGGGTGGGGGAAGTAGGGATTGCTGTAGGGCTGCAGTGGGGCCAGGCCCTATAGGTGCCTACAGGGGGGGGCAGTCAGACCCTACAACCCATTGCCAGGCCGGCCCCTGCCCTACAGCGATGCCAACCCGCCTGCAGCCCACTGAGCTCGTCCCCCCCCTCAACTTCTCCTTCTTCCCACTGCAATCCCTGCAGGGTGAGTATAGGGTGCCCCCCCCCCCACCCTTCATTCACCCCACATAGGGTGGGTTTGGGCTCTCACAGCCCTGCCCCACAGACCTGAGCCCCAAGGGCAGCCCTTCTCCCACCCTGGCCCTCCGCCTGCCCTACACCGGGCTGAGCAGCCTGGAGGGGCTGCACCCCATCCTGCAGCAGCTCCTGGCTGACCCCACACAGCTCCGTTGGCTCGACCTGTCCTTCAACTGCCTGACCACCATTGACCAGGTGAGCAGGACAGGGAGCAAGAGGGTGAAGCTCACAGCCCCGCAGTGGCGGCTGTAAGGCCAGATCCTCATTTTCCCCCCCCCTACATCCACCCCTAAACCAGGTGCTGAGCACGCTGGGGGGGCTGCAGAGCCTCTACCTGCATGGCAACACCATCAGCTGCCTGAGGGAGGTGGACAAACTGGGGGCTCTGAGCCAGCTGCGCCGCCTGACGTTATATGGGAACCCTATGGAGGAGGAGGGGGGCTACAGGTAAGGGGGAGGGGGCTGCAGATGGAACCCCCTCCCACCACCATCTCGTCCCTGGGCTGCTTTGCCCCACTGAGCTCCCCCCCCACAGGCGCTACGTGTTGGCCCTGCTGCCCCAGCTCAGCACCCTGGATTTCAGTGCTGTGACCCCACAGGAGCGCAGGGAGGTGGCCGTGTGGGGAGGCACCCAGAGGCGGCCCCGACCCCACCGAGCTTCAGAATGAGAGGTGGGAGCAAAAGGGATGGGGGGGGGGGGCACCCAACTGCAGGGGCACCCCATGGCACCCAGCCACAGGGTTCTGCCAGTTGGGGCACAGCCTTTTCGTCACCGCTGTGCCACCCGGGTTGGGCTGCTGGGGACAAGGCAGGAGGATGAGGAAGGGGGGAAAACGTGCTCAGCTCCATGCTATCACAGCCACTTCTGGGCTGGAGTTAACCCCAAAATTGAGGGCACGGCTTCCACAGCGTCTCCCCCACACCCTGGAGCGCAGCCACATCTCCGTTACCTGTCAGTAGAGCCTGGGGTTGTGCTGAGACAGAGGTGAGGGGTCAGAGGGGGGGGTTGTTTTTTGGCAGCACCCCCCAGTCTTTGGGCAGGAGGAAGAGCAGCAGGCGCAGGGGGTGCTAGAAACCAAGTGGGAGCACTGAGATGTTTGGGAGGGAGGCAGGGGAGAGTAAATCCCATACAAAACTTCCCCCCTCCTAAAAAAAAAGAAGCCAACAGAGCAGGTAATGAATGAACCCACAGCCACGCATCCCACTGCTGCCCGGTGCCCAGCGACCCAGTGGAACGGAGAGGAGGCAGGGGCGGGCTGGATGCGTTTATCTGTGGTGGCAGAAGAAGAAGAATTCAACCAAAACCGAAAAGAAAATCATTGTAAACCAGGAGAGGGCGGAAGAAACCACTGGAAGGTTTCCTCCGGGAGCATCCAGCTCCTGCCTGCCCTCCCCAGGGTGGGGGGGGGGGGA